ATATAAAATAAAAAAAAAACGTATTTGAATATATATATATATATATATATATATATATATAAAAGAAAAAAAAACATGTATTTGTCCAAATTTGAAGTTAAGTGAATCTTCTTCGAACCGCCAAAGTACCAGTCTGGCAAACCTATTAATATATAAGATTTTTTAATATATTTTATATATTTAAATTTGTATCGGGTCAACCCGACCCATGAATCCGAAACTGAACCGATTCAATTTGGGTTCAGAAAAATGAACCCAACCCTACCCAAAATGCTAATCCAACCCAACCCAACCCTTGTAATTCGGGTTGGGTTGGTCTGGGTTGTCGGGTTGAATGTACACCCCTACAAGAAAGTACATAATAATGTGACCTAAAGTAACTTTGTCAAATTATCTTAAAAAAGTAACCATAGAAAATGAGATCTTTAATAAAAATAAAATTATATATATAAATATATATAATACAATATAATATCTCAAGACTATACCCATACAAAATCTCTAATGTGTGCGTTAACACATAAATCCGTGTAAAATTTAGAGAATTGAACTTGAAATTAATGTCAAGGGTCCATATAGGTTGACTTATATGCAAATGACAAAAAATGAAGTTTTATAAAGAATAAATTGGTGATACAGCGTAAGTTAATCATGTAAATGACTTTATATAAGATAGGCTCGAACATACGTGAGTTATATTACGATGTATGACGTATTTGATATGTTTAGTGGCGTTGTGATGAGTATGATGATTGCATGACATTTATCTTGATATTTTGATGTTTTTCATATTAAACATGTTATATAGTGATGATTGTCATATTGCATCATGTCAATAGATCAACCTACGACGCAACCCTAAAAAGCATGAAAATGATATTAATATAAATATCCAACAAGCATGTGTTACTTAATGTAACAAAGAGATCAGACTAGAGGGTTGTGTCAGAAGAGATGTTAAGATAGAAATTAGAGGACCTCATGCAGGTTGTATATAAAGGAAATGAACTCTTCATCTATGTAGCTGAAGCATTGGGAACCATTTTTTATTTTTATTAAGAATTAAAACAAATCCATAAATGGAAGAGTAAGAACTCTACCTTTGAAGAAACCCTAGCTTGCAAGACTACACGGAGTATTCCAACCATGAAGAATTTTTGAACATTCCATAAGATCTTCCTTACTATGACTCGAACACAAAGTCGCTTGTGGAACCCTCTTGAAAGAAAATCCCAAAAGGATTGGAGAAAGAGTTTTGAGAATTCTCTAGAGATGTAATTTCATTCTCCAGAGAAAGTGGGAGAGATCGATGTGTCTTTGGCTCAACCCGAGGGTCCTATTTATAGGGACGAGAATATTTACCAAATAATATATTTGCATATTTAATATATTAGGATATTATACCTTATATAAATCATATTTAGATATTATAAGATATTCTAATATATATTTAATTAATTTGAATCTCATCCAAATTTCAAATATATTTTTATTTAATGTAGGAAAAGTACATTGATTTAATATTTTATTTAATGATATCAAATACCATAAATATATTTTTATTTTTAATGTATCTAATATATTAAATATTAATTTGAACTCTTTAATATGTTTTTCTCTATTTATATTCAACCTATCTAATATATTAAATATTAATTTAAACTCTTCAAATTAAATATATTTTTTCTATTTATTAAATATTAATTTGACATTTCAAATTAAATTTATTTTCTCTTTATATTTAATATATCTAATATATTAAATATCAATTTGAATCTTTCAAATTTTCTTTCAAATAAATCGAACCTTTTAGGGTTACGATGACCTAGTAAGGAGACCTTATAGACCTACAGATTATAAGCTCAAATGATACAAAATTAATTAATTAAACTCTTTAATCAATCAATTTCCATTCATTAACTATATATGACCTAGCAAGGAGAACTTATAAACCTACTGATTATAAGCTCCAATGATACAAAATTAATTAATTAAACTCTTTAATTAATCAATTTTCATTCATTAACTAGGGCACTCCACTATAGACCTAGAGTTGCACTCTTATGCACTGTAGGACAAGTTATGTTCATTGATATAATCATTACAAGCAAGTCGATACTTCACGAGTTATTCATAATTACAACTACGGTCAAAAGTCCATTTTACCCCTATAATTACATCTTTCACCTTAAGTACCACTGATGCTCTAATGAGCAATTTGTCTATGATAACCAAGTCCCTCTCGGGCCAATGAGAGGGTGGGGCCCCAATTGTTCAAGCCCCGAAATCAGTACTTAAGAGAACAACTCATCTACTTTACTTATATGGAAATGAGTGAATTCCATCTCATAATCTTATGTTCCCAACTCCCTATTTGGTCAAGTCCCTAAAAGAAGGCATATTGAATTGGCTAAAAGAGTCTTTCTTATCCATGTAAATTAAAGGACAAGTGCTCACAGGTAGGAGTTCATAACTCACTTAGGATTAAGATCGAGTTGCATATGATCATCATGTGAAATATTAATCTTCTCAATTAACGGATTTATAAAGAGAGATTAAATATTTCTTGGTCCAGTTTCATACAAACTCATTGTATAGGATACCTCCACTTACATGTCTCCATATGAATGATTTTGATCAAATCATTTGTAACGATTACAAAGTGGGTCGTATCAATAGTGTTACCATGATAAGGCACCCAACCTTATCCATATACTATAGACTCTTTAGGTTATTACTTGAACATGATCCTCTTGTATGTCAACCACATACTATTCAAGATTATATTAATAACCTTGGACTTTCATATAATTGATAACAATTAAATCACAAATAAAATAATATAAATTATTTTTAAAAACTAAATAATTAATTACGAGGCCTTAGGGCATAAATCCCAACAGTATGTTCATAAGCATAAGGATACTTCCCCTAGAGATGATGATTGTGGACGCGCATAATATAATGATGAGGGTGTTCATGGGGAGCATGACACTAGGGGTTCCACTGACCTCCGGATGTCGCTATAGAGTAGCTTGACCAGAGAGAGTCCAGTGGGTGTGCGAGCCCCCTGGGGACACATCTATAGTATTCTAAGTCCCAAGAGCATGATTGCATGTGTTTGCATTTGCATGCCCCCTATAGTATGGTCACTTACTGAGTATTCTTCGAAATACTCAGATTGTGTCATATCATTTTTAGGTGAAGGCAAGACCCACAGAGATGAAGTTTTTGGTTAGAATAATTTGTTTTCCATTTTATTGATATCAATTATTTTTTATTTTCTCTAAATTTCAGTATTTCATATTTAAACACGTAAAACCATGACTATGTTTTCCAAAGTGAGGATGTTATAAATGTTTTCGACATTTATACTATAGATGAAATTTTCTTTTAAGAGTTATATTTCCGCATAAGAGATGAGCATGAGACATTATTAGTGACTCTGAGTATGGAAAAATTGAGGTCGTTACACCAAGAAAATGATTTAGGGATATGAGACACAATTATGACACCACATGGATAAGATGTCATACCATTTTTTTAAAAACCTATGAATACGACAAAATAGTCTTTTTCTTCATTCTTCCTTTCTTTCTCCTTCTTAATCACTTCATTTTCACAATTAAGTTTTTCTTAAAAAAAAAAAATGAACGTGAAAAGGGAGAAAGGGGGAGGGAGGTGAAAGAAAATCCTTAATTCGTATTAAATACTCTTTAACTAATGTAAAAACAACCTAAGAAAATTAAAGGATCCCGTACATGACAAAATTAAAGTTGTAGTAGTCAATCGTAATATAAAACTAATTTAAAAGGGTAAAGAAAAAATTAGAATAACTTATTATCATGTCCCTCCTTAACATGGATTGGACATGTATTAAACACTTATTAATACAATAAATATGTTAGACATTTATAATCCAACATTTTCATATCGAACCTTTGACTACATTAAACTATTTTAAGTATACAAATATATAAATTTATTGATAAATAATTTTTTAATATATATATTTAATAGATGTGTCATTGTCATATCTATGTCCTAGAGGGTAAAAAATGACATATTACCATATTTGTGGTATTATATTTAAGTTTGGTATTTATATTATTTTTTTTAACTCATATTTTGGCTTCTATAAATAGATATTTTCAAGAAAATAAATTTAATTCATATTAAAATGAAGAATAAAAATTGATATTTATTGACCTGGATACTTGAGGCTTGGATTCCTCCCGATGTAAATCACTTAAATAGAAAATGTGTTTCACTTAAAATCCAAGCTAGAAAGAATAATAAAGAACTAAAATTAAAACATGATAAGGATGACATTTTCTGACCTCTTTAATTTGTTCGTGTGAATATTTAAAAAGGAAATCTAAAATATTTTTAGATATAATTTAAGATTACGGGTTCAATCGAGCTCCATCCAAACTTCTATTTACAAATTATTATGTGACATTTACTACTAAAACTTAAAAATATACCTACAAAATGTTTGACTAAAACAATGCAACCATCATCTCAATTAAAGAATTTTATTCGAAGCTATCTCTTAATAAAGGAATACTCAACTAGTCTTTGTTGTAAGATTCGACTATATCAATTTGAATATCGTTCAGCAACAACTATAAATATCGAACTCCAAAGTATTCATAAGCCAAGTAAGTTTATTGAAACTATCTATCAAAGGTGTCCAAAATGAGTTGTGGAGAAGTGTTACCTTCAAATCTAATTCCAATTAAGAATGTCAATGAAGAAGTGCAAAAAGATGGAAGGTTTGCCATGGAAGAGAGTAACAGGAATGGCAGTGGACATCATTTCATTCGGAAGCGTGTGGAAAACGGTTTTTTCAGTCTGACCAACTTAGGTTTAATTAACAAAATTTATATTATTGTGATAGAAGTTATAATTGATGATGATGAGATGCCTTGGTCATATAATGCGAAGGTGGAGTTCAATAGGCATGCCTAGACACTAGTCGGTTAGTGTGGTTCTCTTATGCTTTGAAGATGTTCTCAAGGATTTCAACGAGCATTAGATTGCTCTCCCTCCTTTCACTAAGCCACCTCTCTATATATAGGGGTGTTAGTATCTTTAACTATGATAAAGCAAAAGAATCATGTAAGAAAATACATAATAATGTGATTTAAAGTAATTCGGTCAAATTATCTTAAAACAGTGATAATAGAAAATGAAATCTTTAATAAAAATAAAATTCTATATATATATATAAATATATATATATATATATATTATAATATAATATTTCAAGACTCTACCCATACAAAATCTCTAATGTTCGTGCATGAAGTTTAACATATAGACTATTTAAAAATTTAGAGAATTGAACTTGAAAATGATGTCAACGGTCTATATAGGTTGATTTGCATACAAATGACAAAAATCGAATTTCATTAAGGATAAATTGGTGAAACCAGCATAAGCTAATCATGTAAGTGACCTTATATAAGATAGGCTAGAAATTGTTGAGTTACAATTTATGATATATGAGCTATGATGATATATGTGTTATGATGACGTATGAGCTATGATGACGTATGAGCTATGATGATGTATGAGTTATGATGTATGAGCTATGATGCATGATGACGTACATGAGTTATATTACGATGTATGATGTACTTGATATGTTTGATACATTTAATGGCGTCATGGTGAGTATGATGATTGCATGACGTTTATCTTAATATGTTGATGTTTTTCATATTAAGCATGTTATATGGTGATGAGTGTCATATTGCATCATGTCAATAGATCATATTAAGCATGCTATATATTGATGAGTGTCATATTAAGCAAGATATTAATATAAATATCCAACAAGCATGTGTTACTTAATGTAACAAAGAGATGAGATTAGAGGGTTGTGTTAGAAGAGCTGTTAAGATGAGAATTAGAGGGACCTCATGCAGGTTGTATGTTCATAAGCATAAGGATACTTCTCCCAGAGATGATGAGTGTAGACGCGCACAATTTGATGATGAGGGTGTTCATGGGGAGTATGACACTAGGGGTTTCACTTGATAAGAATCACAGTGTTCCAAATGTTCCAACTAGACCTATTACACGATCCAAGGCAAAGAGTTCCAACTGGACCTATTACACGATCCAAGGCGAAGAAGATTCAACAAACATTCATTCTTCATCTACAAAATTGGATCAGCTCGGTTCAACCATCATTTCTAGAATTAGAAGCTGATACGATTGACAAAAGACAATTGAATATTTGCACGGTTAAAGTTGGAAAACTTTAAAATGTCAACAACAGAATTCAAACCTACGCGCAGAGAGCTCAATTGATTTTGAACCTGTCGCATTAGCTACTCAAGCACATTAACATTTGTTAGAAAAAACTATTTTTAATTTCATAAATGATGTAAAAGTCAAAGGGTCAATTTGACTTATTCTTTTGTGGAGATTAAAGGGGATCGAGAATAAATCCCGTCCACAAACGTCTTTTGTTGGGAGACTATAAATACCCACAATATGTTATGTAAAATTCAGATTCGTGGATGAATGTAATTCAGATCTCAAATTGAGACGTTTCCCTTAGAAATCCGAGCATCATATTTGTCATTTCTAAGTTTCAAGCAATTCTTGTGGTAGAATTGCACCAGAGCCATTCAATCAAGCCTTGGTCAAGTTCGATTGTGGAGTGACTCAATTTAGAACAAGGTTTCCAAATCTTGCTTCTAGATCTTCGATCAAAGAAGGTAATCTAATTCTAGCCTTATCTCTTGGTTGATCCAAATTTCGTATAAGGAGATGTTAATTACTTTGATTCAAGGTTCTTGTTTCAACAAAAGCTTGGATCGTTGGGCTAATGATTAGGGTTTCCTTATCAATTTGGTATAAGAGCGTAGGTTTACATCTTTGTGGCCGACTCTAGAATTGATTTTATCTTTCATTTATGCTATTATTTATTTTTCTTTAAATCTGTCAATTCATTTTCTTGCTGTCATTTCTGCCCTTATTCATCAACTTTTCACTTTGTTCTCATTTTCTACATAAAGATCACGTTGAGATCTTGAAAAAAAAAATCTTAACATATTTGTTCTTACGATTGTGATTATAACTGTTCTTTATCATTTTTTTTTTTATCATTTGCATGTTTATTTGAAGATCAAATAAACTTCGATTCACATCTTTTTCTTAATCCATCAAAATCTAGAACCGTTGTGTTTGATATTTTTTTTTTCTCTCATAATCTACGCTTGAAGATAACTTTTAAATTTCCCAAATTCTGTAAAAAGAAGAGTTAGATCATTCTTAAAATCTTCACGTCCTTTCTTTTTGGATTTTTTATTTTTTTTTTATTTTTTCAGTGTGCAATTCTATCCAAAAATATCTTCGTGTCTGTTATTTGTTTGTTCACTTCTTGTTTTATTTTGTTGTTACTTCATAATTAACTTATCTTGATTGCCTTGAATAGCTTTACCGATATATTAGCCTACCTTGATCATAATTTAGTCACTTTTTCAAATAACCTACCTTTGTGTGTATAAACACGAGTGTCCCTGAGTGTAAAATCAGTGAGTTGAGTGTGTGAGGTCCTAAACATATTCCACTACTATTTACAATCATGAACCAAGACGGAGGAAATGGAGGGAAGATCAATGAAACTAGGTGGAGAGAAGCACAGGTCGGAACAATTACTCGTTTGAATCAAATTATTAGTACACTAATAAACCGAATGGAGCGAATTGTAATAGCCTTATGTAATCTTCAAGGGAGGGAAGTACTCTTGAATGAAGGAGTTGAAAATGAAGAAGATGACAATGTCACCCTTTTAGCGGGACATAGTCCTATGGGAGGGAGAGATGTCGGTCGAGGGAGAGGAAGAGTCAGAAGAAGGGGTAGAGAAATTTTAGCACTAAAAAGAATTGAGAGGGAGTACTAGTATGAGAGAGAAAAAGAAAAAGGAGTCGGGAGAGTAAAGCTAAAAATTCTAACTTTCTATGGGAGATCTGATCTAGAGGAGTATTTGCAGTATGAGAGCAAAATTGAGCATGTCTTCGATTGCAACAATTTCAGTGAAGAAAGAAGGTTAAAGCTTGCTGTGGCTGAATTTTGTGATTACGCCATTATATGGCGGACATCTTTGAAATCAGAGTGGAGAAGAAATTATGAAGAACCAATTGAATCGTGGGAGGAATTGAAGACATTAATGAGAAAAAGGTACATTCCTAAGCATTATTCTCGAGTACTCAAGCAAAAACTTTATACTTTACAACAGGGATCCAAGAGTGTTGAAGAATATTACAAAGAAATGGAGACCCTTATGAATAGAGCATGTATTGATGAAGATGAGAAAGATACAATAGTTAGATTCCTTGGTGGGTTAAACCGACAACTTGCTCATCAAGTGGATAGGCAAGCGTATTTTGATATGCAAGAATTGTTACCCCTTGCTGTCAAAATCGAAGGGCAACTAGGTTTGGAGAAGGAGAACTCCAAGAGCTATGGTATTTCAAAGTCTACTACTTTCAACACTTGGAAGAAGAATGCAAATATTGAAAAGATCGATTTCAAAGTTGGAGGCAAGTATGATCTTGACAAAAAGAACAAAGTTGAGACCTCCCAGGGTAAAGAAAAAGTGGAGGAATACAAGAAGATTCGAGAAAGAAATAGAGACATCAAATGTTGGAAATGTCAAGGAATTGGTCATCTTAGTCGTGATTGTCCTAACAAGAGAGTCATGATCATCAAGAATGGACAAGTTGTCATAGATAGTGAGGAAAGGGACCATGATGAGCTAGTTGAAGAAGAAATCCAGAGAATGAGGAGGAACTGGAAGACGGGAGTCATTTGATACTTGTTACCAGAAGACTTCTTAAAACTCAAGTTATAGAGAATGATGTTGATGATCAAAGAGACAACCTATTTCACACAAGGTGTTTAGTCAGGGGACTCCTTGTAGTCTTGTAATTGATAGCGGAAGCTGCACCAATGCCGTAAGTACCATGTTGATCAAAAGGTTGCTAATTCCAACCCAACACCATCCTAAACCTTACAAGCTTCAATAGCTCAATGACAGTGGAACAATGAAGGTAACTTCTCAAGTTTTAATATCTTTTACTCTGGGAAAATATAAAGATGAAGTTCTTTGTGATGTTTTACCAATGCATGCTGGAGACATATTGCTTGGCCGACCATGGCAATTTGACAGGAGGATTATGTATGATGACTATTTAAATAGGTATTCTTTTGTAAAAGATGGTAGAAAAACCACTCTGGTACCTTTGAGTTCTGCAAATGTATTTGCTGATCAATTAAAGTTGGAAGACAAAAAAAAAAAAGTTTGAGGAAAAAGAGTTGAAAGAAAAACAAGAGTTAAAGTGAAAAAATAGAGAAAAGTCAAAGAGAAAAACATAGTGAAATAAAGAATGAAATTGAGAAAAAAAAAGGAAAGAATGTGAGTTGTTTGGCTAGAGTTGAAGAGGTTAGAAGGGCAATGTTCTCACAAAAAAACCATCTTTGTACTTGTGTACAAGAAAGGATGTTTGGTCTCTAACGATAACAATATGTTTTTGCCTAGTATGTTTCAATCTCTTTTACAGAAATTTGATGACGTATTCCAAGATGAAGTCCCTAAAGAACTACCTCATTGAACATAAAATAGACTTTATTCCACGGGAAGTCATTCCTAATAGGCCAGCTTATAGAGCCAACCCAACTGAGACTAAAGAAATTCAAAGACAAGTAGAGAAGCTCATGGAGAAGGGCTATATACGAGAGAGTTTGAGTCCATGTTCTGTACCAATCTTATTGGTGCCGAACAAAGATGGAATGTGGCGCATGTGCGTGGATTGTAGAGCCATCAACAAAATCCCGGTAAAGTATCGACATCCTATTTCTAGGCTAGACAATATGCTTGATGAATTGCATGGTTCATGTTTATTTACAAAGATTGACTTGAAATCTGGATATCATCAAATTAGAATGCATGTACGAGACGAAAGGAAAACCGCGTTCAAAACTAAGTTTGGATTTATGAATGGCTTGTTATGCCTTTTGAGTTAACTAATGCTCCTAGTACATTTATGCGCTTAATGAATCAT